GAAGCAAGAATCTGAACAAGATGGAAATAAAATTTCCAGTGAGATCAGTGGAAGTTATTTAAATCACATCCTGGTCAGGGTCCCCTGACACCCACTGATGAGCTTCAAGACACAATGTTAAAGGACAACACCAGGGACGCACCAACAATATTCTAAAACTGTATTAATGAGTATAACCAACCAGTCAACACACTTAAATCACAATCAAGCCCAATTATGAGAACAGCTGTAAACCAGTAAAATGTCAATGTCATAAGTCATCATATGAGCCTTCTTTTTTCCACTCCTCATTCTTTTCTTTTTCAAAGGACAGCAAGGTTTCCAGAATAATCCTCTACATACCATATGTGCTCTTCTTCCCAACTCTGAAGTCTAGGATTATAAAATAAAAGCTGAGATCCTCACAGTTATATAATTTCATGAGTTAGGACTTCAAGACACCAAATAAATGCAATAAAAGAGAATTGACAATGGCAGCACTAACACTTTGCAGGTGTCTATAAGCAAAGTCTCATGGGTAGTTACATGCCACTCAATTGGTCAAACAGACTAGGTAAGGAGCTCAAAACACTGCCATTCCCTTTACAGAAATTTTAAAAGCAATCTACTCAGTCTGCACAAAAAAAGCTTTACACTCCTAGCACACTTACAAATGAGCATGCATCATACCACCCCCATCACCCTCTTTATACTCTTTCCGGGTTTACAGTTTTATTGCTAATAGAGGATGGTGTTCTGAAAGAACTTGTCAGGTATTTTCATTTTCACCTGGATTTTAACTCCTGGACTGCCATGCAATGGTCATACACAATTTAATGCACAACAGCTGATTCAAGGGTAAAACTCCTGTAGGTCAAAAGATGGAGCTGGCATTTTGACTCTTCACTGCCTCTACTTTCTGCCTCAGTAAGATAGAAAACATTACTATTCTCATTTCTTAGCATTCTACTTTTGGGGCGCACTAACTTTGCATATGACAGAGGAAAAGCAAACAGGATCTATGTAGTTTGTAAACAGTAAAGAGGTCAGTATAGTAACACTGTCATAACTAATCCACAGCAGGAACTATTTGCAGACTTCAAATGCTAATTGATGTTTTGTTTCTTGACAAAATGACCTAGAAATTCCAACTTTCCTAGAAGTGCTTCTGCTGCGTGTTACCCTGGAGGAACTTGCTCAATCCTATCCCTTACTCTGAGAACCTGCCTTGCAATAATACTTCAACAAAGCACTTTTGGAGCTTACAAAAAGTAAGCTGGAGCTTATTTATTAAACTCTATTTATTTTATTAGTCTAAATGGTTTGCTGATGGGCTGAAAGCCTAGATTTACCCAGGTAGTTGGTATGTTGCTTCTCTTCAACCCTCTACAGTAACTATCAGCCAATAGTACAGACCATTCCACATGTCCAAGATTTCTATATCCAAAATTAGATCTGTATCAGCAAGTCTCTACCATGCCTTGAATCACAACAATAGGCACACAGTAAATAAAAATAATTTATTATTATATGCTTGAAAGGAAACATTTTCTGTATATTTAATAGAAGTCACATTTTCTGTAAAAAAACTCCTTAAATAAGCATCTCTATTCAATTACATACACAACGACAAGTAAGACAAAGAAAGGGCCTAGTTTTCCATTTGAGAATAAAGGTGTTTGGAACAATGCCTATACAAACCTACTCTTCTCCATTAATTCCACATGATTTTCCTGTAAGCATACCTGGGTTTCTATAACCAATTTAACCAATTTTGATTTGCATAAATTCTTCCCAGAAAAGAAACAATTATCTAACCTAATGATTTCTCCATTAATGGACATTTTGGCAACTATAGATAATGGAGCAGTCCTTGATTAGTTTCAGGAGGATTCTGACTAGCATAAACAGGCATTTACATCAATAAGAGTCTCAGCGTAAGTTCACTTCGAAAACAGAATGTTCAGTGTGCTGAGGGAATATGACAGACTTAGGTATCCTGAGTAAACTAAGGTGTACACAAAATGGGTTTTTTTGCTTTTGCAAGAGATGGGCATATATAAAGCCCTGATATCCAACGAAACTATACTAAATGGATAAAATATCTCCTCTTTAGATGCTAACAGCCCCTCTCCAACTGCAGCTCTAGGCTCTGTTTTTCTATCCTATACATCGGCTGAGCCTTAGCCCAAGATCCCAAGCCACAGCCCGAAAGAACAAGAGGACAGAATTCCTTTTGCAACCCCTTCCCTGCTCCACTCCAGCTACAGCTCTAGGCTCTGTATCTCTCCCAACCCCAATCCTAGCCCGAGCCCAAAGCATCACCACCAAACCATACTCACTCAAAAGTCCAAACCACCATTTTCTCTTGAATTTTCATTCCTTTATAAAAGGAACATTCTTCAAAAGCCAGCTTGACATAAATAACACAGGCATTATCACTAATGCAGCTTTTGCTCATTAAGCCACAAGAATACAGAGAAAGTGGCAGTTAACCCCTTAGTCACTGAAACACAGACGCTAGTTCTACTATAATGCTTCCTTCGAAATAACACTGTCAGCTGAGAACATGCCAAATAATGTGGTTTCCCTCTCAGCACAATGAGAATGATCAGACTGAAAAAAGGAAAAGGACAAATACTTTGAAGGGAAGGGATTATAGTTTAGTATTTGAAATGTAGTATAGATATACTACAAAAGGATTGTCTAAGTTCCATCTATCTAGCAGTTGAATTAGCAAGAAAACAGGCTTAGGAGTCATGCTTACAAAAGGACACATCCTCAAAACATGACCAAAAAAGATAGGCACTCAGGTATTACAAATCCTAGCCTACTTTTGGATGGGCTGCTTAACTTTTTGCAACCTCCATTTTTTCAACAGTAAAATGGAAATAATAATACTGCCTTTTCTGAAAGTAAGGCTACGAAGCTTAATTCATTTAAATTATGTGAAAGTCTTTTGAGTTCCTTGTATGAAAAGTGTTATTTAATTAAACACTGTTAATATTCCAAAGGAGCAACTGTAACAAAAAAATACTATGTATTTTACTGCCTATTGCAATTTGCATATAACTGCCCAACCCCCCAAAAGGAGTGCTTGTCCCTGTCCTGATAAGGATTATGCTAGTCAAAGTGTGTTATATGAGAAAAGCATATTCTACTCCAACTCAAAAACATTTTAACCAGTGACAAATTAAAAAGATTTTTAAAAAACTATTAAAAATCCTGATGGTTATAAATTACTTAGATTAATGTTCTTTTCCTGAGTTTCATGTACATTTTAAACTAGGTTTGTTTCTCTTTATCAGTTAAAATACATTCTAATCTCTTCTGATGTATTATTTAATGAATTAGAATGGTTCTTAACTATATTTTTATGGACACAGAAACAGAAATTAATGGAACACATTGCTTTGATTTGTCTGTCTACAAACGAGCCCAAAGTTGGTGGTGTTAGTTCTCAGCCAATACTGCATTGTTCTTTATTTAAATTTCATCTATTCCTAAATAAAGAAAAAGAAAACACAAAAGAGATGCTACAGCCTTAAGTAATACCAATCAGAGCAGAATCCAGATGTCCTCTTTTAGCTTTTCAGAGCTTAAGAACTCCAGGGTGTAGTAGCTTTCCCTCAGAGCTTTCATGTACTACTGTCTAATTCGATGATGCTTCACTTGATTATAAATGCTGGGACAAGAAGCCTCATAGATCTGAACAAGCACAACTATTACCGGGTTTTTTCCCTGTGCTGCAGTCACAGTGCAGATCACGGAGGCCAACTGTAATTCACCAAGTATGAATCTGACCGAAAAACTGACAGAAACACAACAGGCAAATTCTTGCCCCTGTTGTGATCCCCATCTGGTTGGAGAAAAACTTAAAGGCTCCAACTGGTCCTAAAAGCCCAGGAATGATAGAAAATAACTACCCAGAAGACAGCACTGGAGAAAAGGTTTCTAAGATTACTCTGCCCTGTCTATGGGCTATGTCAAATATGGGACTGAGCAGGAGTGAGCCACATGGTGCTTCAAAGGCTGCAGCTAGGTATGCAACACAAGGAACAAAGAGGAATGACTAAAGTAATTTAGATGGCCCACAACAAGTGTCTAACACAAAACAAGGGGGTGTCCGAACTCTCAACAGCTCAGGATCTCAAAGATTTGACTACAGTAGAAAGCTACAGTGTCCAGAGTCTTACATATTTTTTTTTTTTTTATATAAAGTGCCATATAGTCTTTAAAAAAAGCTTCATGCCACCTGCAAATCAGCAGCACTGAGACCAGAAAGCTTCTCTGCACTGCAATGGCAGACTTGTATATTGCAAAGTTAGGGAAAGCAAGCGAATACTACTTTGTGCTGAACTGACATGCTCCTTTCAGATCATTTCAAATATAATTTGGAACTAGTGTTACACTTGGAGGTGTAAGTAGCACAAACAAGCTATTTCCCTCATTCAGGTTTCCAGTTCGTTTAAAGAAAGGCTTCTTCCATATAGCACATTTTGACATACTGAGTAAAGACTAGCTCCTGTTTCTTTCACAGAGCTTAAACAGGATGTAGCACAATGATAAAGGTTTCTGCTTATCTCAGTCAACGCAAAGCCAAGCTCCAAAACCCATATAACATTATATACTCAATGCCAAGTACCGTTTGAAAACAGAACCTTTTAAAACATCAGTTTTCTTAGTCTAAATCAGATACAGTATCTTTGTAATAACCTCCTTCTAGATGTGCTACACTTTTTTCCTCAGGATTCAGAATTGCCACTTATAATCAACCAACAGAACAACATTTTTCTATTACTTATGTTGATCCGTTTCACAGACGGTAAAAGGATTCATCATCATGTCAGCCTCTTTACTGTTACCTACACTGCTCACTGCCTAAGAGCCTCAGCTGTAGCCCAGGGCCCAGTGGTGAAAGGCAAATCCCCAATACCAGTAGTTTCCTTGTCCTAGCAATCCTTTATAAGGCAGTACATATCCAAAACGAAATGAAAAGTAAAGAAAACTATTTCAACTACCTTGCCATGTAGTTTGTGGACATCATATCTAATTTGAGCAAATTCACGGAGTCCAAAAGATCCTCCAACAAGATACAGCTGGAAAACAGCAAAATGAAAACAGATATGTTAGGACTATTACAAAAAAGAACACTTGGCATACTGATCCAATTACTTTTCCAAGGGACCCTACTATTCTCCCAACAGAAACACCAGGAACTGAATAAAATAATCAATTGAAGATATGTATAGGAGAAGAGTGAGTATATGTAAAGTTAGAGTCGTCTTTCACTCTCTGGGCCTGATTTCCAAATTTCCTCCTTCACACAATGATGCTTCATGACTCACATTTTCTAGGGACTTCCTCTCCACTTATCCCTTCTTTTCCCACTCCATATGGCTTCCTGACATAACTGCAGCAAAGGAACCTTTACCTCACCACCACAGGATTTATTCTCAAACTCATCTACATCTCAAACAAATGTAGCAATGCCACATTGACTTACTCTGATGTCTGTAGCTAAGAGATCTAATCAAGTTTCTGAACAGACCAGCTGATTGGAGCTGTGGTTCAATGATACATTATCACATAGGCTAAGAAATCATATCTATCACACCTGCACTTTTATTATTGCCTCCTTAGTTGTCTTGCACTTCCCTCCACACCTGTGAAGCTTATGAACAAGAATAATAGAGAAATTAGGGGGGGACACACACCTTCATATCCGCATAAAGAAATTTTTCTTTCTTATAACAGAGGGATATCATAAAACTATCTATGTATTTTTACCATTAAGAATGGACAGACCAACCAAGAGATCAAGTATTGTTAATAAACACCATTAAGGATGTGAAAATCAGTTTAGAAATCTAGCTACTTTGTGGAAGAATCAGGCCTCTTGATCCTGCTCTGACCTGACAGATGCCGTCTGCTGTTCTCTGTTAAGGCAGATGCACAGGAGGCCAAAAGGTTTCACATTTAGAGATGCACATCTACAGAAGGTGGAAGCATAAGGAAGCTCTAAGGATCTGAGTGAAAAAAATCAAAACACCAAACCCCAACACCATCCTATTTTATCACACCACATTGCTGTTACAGCCATTTATTACCTGCTGTTGCTGCACTGGTAACTCTCTTCTACACAACGCTGGCTGATTTCTTGCTACGTATTAGGTTTGTGTCCAAGAATTTTTTTAATTATGCTGTGCAGGTAGTCAAAATATATGTTCTTTCCAAAAAGTATGCTATCCAAAGTTCAGGTCGCTGAGGCCAGAAAGCCATATTCATTCCATTTAAATTAAAAAGAAAAAAAATTAAAAAAAATTAAAAATTCTACATTTATTCCTTCTAAAAACTGGACTACATGATTTCGCATCAAGCAGGTAAAACTATTCACAACCATGTGAATGCACTCTGCACACACACTTAGATGCCGGTACATTACAGACTGGTACCCACGAACTATGTTCTCTGTTCACAGAACAGGGAACCCTTCACCAATAGCCAGGAGTTAAAGGCTCCATGGTCTCCTTCTGGCCTGGCCCTGTTGATAAGTCTAAGAATTTAGCTGATAATTAGAAACAAACAAACCAAAAATTTGTAATATGAACATACAGTTGCTAGGCCACAGAATTCTGATTTCAGAAAGCCAATCAGAAAATCATCATGTTGTAGCAAGTTAACCTTCAGCAACTAGAAAGCTGACCTACCAAAAACTGCATGGCACCATACTTCTATCATAACTGTTCAAGGAATTAATGATGATCTTGCAAATACTGAATCATCAAAATACACAACAGAAAAAAAGGTATTCATATAAGGGGGGGAAAAAGGTCTTCCTCATGTATCAGCATTTTGGTAAGAAAGAGTATCAGGAAACAGAAAATAAAGTATTCAAAATCATTAAAAAGACCCTGAACATTATTCAAGATTTATTCAATCAAAGCAGAAGATTTGTCAGCTGAAGAGATTGTAAGACATAATGCTGAAAGTCTCAAGTGTCAGACTATAATTGAATTTTAATATGGTTGACACCACAGCATAAATTTTTATTAGCTGATCTTCTTTAACTCCTAACAAGTATTATGTTAATTAACTGCCAATGAGTTGAGTTAACAAACTTTAGTCCTAATGAAAAGAAATCAGAAAGGCTACAGACAAGTTTATGGCTGGTACAAACCACACCTTATTGCCTTTGTGTATGGTAGCATGTTGTTAGAGAGTGGCTATGGCGGGGCAAAAGCAACTGCTCTACAAATGGTTTAGTACACAGTTGTTAAACTAGGCAGAAAGTAGCAATTACAAACTTGCATGAAGTATATACTGTTATGAGATGCAATATGAACAAGTGGAAGACCTTTAGCTGGCCTGTTCCTCATAACCCAACTACCACTTAACATAATGAAAAGGTACACTGTGGCTTACAAAGCCATGCTCCAAGCTAAAAAAGAAATATTACATTCTTTAGCTTTGATCATTTAAAACTATGTAATGTAGACTGTAAGTAAGGGAAATCAAATAGAAGGTCATTGCATGAAATAAGTCATGTGCTACTCATTTTGTCTCATCACATCCTACCACTTGTTTGACAGCAACCATCTATTATACAGCACATTTTACATTTGCAGCTATTACACATGATAAAGAAGCTGATACACACACATCTCTCAGTTCCTTTAGACAGGTTTTGGCCTGAGACTGTAATTTTACTCACATCACCTTTATACTACTAAAGGGAAAAAACCCACTTGGTTTCCAGTATGCTTTTGCTCTTCATACAGCATAAGCAGTATAGCTAGCCTGGCAAGTTGGCACATTTCACTTATCAGGCATTACCAGTATAATTGCCTTTAGACTTCCATGGTTGATTTATCTTACAATGATACATCAGTTAGGCTGCATCAGAGTCAAAGCACACTGATGCTGTAAGAAATTACAAATGTTACTCAAATATTACACAGTGTAGTGCTGGAAGGGTAGGATTAAGATTAAATAATTTTCAAAAGCCCAGAATACACACAAAAATATAAATATGTTTACAAGTTTACTTCGCCAATGTACTAAAGAACCAAACATGACGTCTAAGGCTTCATTGCAAAACCAGACCGGAATCAGTCATATTCAGCACTTATTTAATCAACCGACAGCATATCAATACAGTTAGCTGACAGCCCTGAGCAGGAATTCCCTTGATATACACAAGTCAGAGCAGCAATGGACAGCTATTTGGTCAATTAGATTTTTGAAAACTGTGTTTAAAGGCCAATAAAAGAAGGTATAAATGAATTTATGCAACTATAATAGCATTGAAGGTAGTAAAGGACTCAGTGACTGACAATGCATTGAGTGGAAATACTAGTCTTGGTTTAAGTGTTTCCTTTCTCTTTTGTGCATAACGAGGAAAGATGTCCTCACTACCTTTCTTTAAGTTAACGGTATTTAAAGGGAAAAATACATGCACACAAACAAAAATGAAGCATCAAGAGTCATCAGTCAAAATAATTAGAAGTGGGATAAGACTCAAGTTAAAAATTCTAGCAACACTATCAGCTTGTTGGCTTTGCATATTCTGTACGTCTCATGTACAGTTCTAGTTTTCCAATTTGTAAAACAGAGATAATCTCTACATTCCTTGCAAAACACTCTTCAGTTAAAAAAGCACTACAATGGATGAAGTTGCTCAATGTAATCCAAGGGCAACAGCAAAGTCCAGTATGTTCCATCCACTAGTCCAGACATAAAAGAGACAGTAGGAGCTATTCAGGATGCCATACACATAAAACAGCTTGGCAACAGTTATATGAATCCAGGCTCAAGCTCATTCTCCAGTTAACTGAAAGGGGAAAAATAATGTCACATATAATGCAAATTAAGATATATTTTTCTTCATTCCGATTTTAGAACCATACCAATACTTAAATCATAAAATGTTAAGGCATTGGCATCTGAAGAGTACTCAAGCTGGAAAGTTCAACTATACCTGCATTCTTTCATTGTGAGGGAACTGTTCATTTTATATGCTTCAGAATGTGGAACAAAAAACCATTATTATGTAGTGAACATAATCTGTCTAGTTACTTGAATGCATTCAGCTGACTGATGAAATGATATCTTCTCACTTTTTCCTTTACACCTGAAATTTACCTTAAGAAGGCAAAAATCATAAAACATACTAGTTAGCCAGCACTTAACACCAAAGCAAACAGCCTAACAGCACTGCTAGCACAACCCCCCAATAAAGATCTCATAATGGATTATTCCTTTATGTTTCAGTGAGTACACAAAAAAAACCCTCTACAATGTTGTAATGCAATTACGCATGCATGGAAGATTTGCATGTTCCAAAACAAAATGAAAGATAGGATGTGACATAAGAGCACCATCTGTCACATACACTCAGCAACCTCAATAAATGTTTCATGTAAAAAAATGACATAGAATTCTCTTTAATAACATTCTTTTAAAAATTCTATTTGTTCACTTCTCCATTGGGAAGTACGTTATGCAATCAGTTACGGATGGCATCAGACTGATCCCTTGAACCGCATCTTAGCATGGCAAATACTTGTATTTGTCACCAACTACAGTGAGATGGTCACTGAGGACTCAACACCAGAAGAACTTGGGACTTACAGAAGATCCCTATTTTTTTTAGTTTCTTGCATGATCTAAAGCAGCCATTTTCAGTTCCTTGGGTTAACAAAATAACAAGAAACTATTTCTCTGGGTGCACCAGCAATTTGCAATATTATAGGTGTCCCTGTTATTAGAGAATGTCGTTCCTGCTATAGTACCAATTGTGAAAGCCAGATTACAAAATTACATTTGTCGTAAATCCCTAAATTAACCAAATCACAATATTTAGCGCTGGCAACATCGATTATGAAATGGTGGAAAACGTTATGATATATATATGACTGCAGAAGGAACATGATAATTTTCTAACCTCTTCTTCAAGACTGCTGCAGCAAAACCCTCCAGCTATTCATCAAGAGCTTCAAAACTGGAACAGTCAATATGAATGATTTTATTTTAGTTTGCAGTCATCACAGTAAAAAGGGTTTTGGGGTTTCCTTTTTAAAGAACTGTCGTATGTGCAGTGTAAGACTGGTGAAAGATGGCAATTTGACAGCCCAGAAGACTGAAGTCTCTTTTTTGTTCCCTAAATAAAGTAGCAGGGCAAACTGCCAGTCCCAGAAAAGACCCAGGCAAGTCATCTTAACCTGAAGCGCCCCCCTCTGCCAGCTCTAACTCTCAAGAGTTTATTTCCCACAGCCATTCCAGCACTTTGCTCTAAGGCTGAAACTGCTGAGAAGAGAGAAAAACAGTGCAAAATCTACTCAGAATCTTACTAAATCCTCTCACCACCCTCGGTGGGAACAGAAGAGGCTCTACCTTTTCTTCTTGTCTGCAACAACTGGAAATCATATTAGTTCAGATCAGAGGCCTCCTTTGGGGGAAAAAAAAAAACCCAAACTATACATCCCTTAGTAGTTATTTCATTCAAAATCATGACAAAGTAAGGGAATGCACTGACTTACTGCATATACTAGAATTCACAAATTGCAGAAGAACTGAACTGCATTACATTCAAAAATGGATGAAATATGCCAGTAGATGACCGCACGGATACCATGCTGGCAACCCGGGACAGCAGCTGGTATAAACTGGAGCCAATCCTGACAAAGGAGAACAGTGTAGTTTTCACAGCACGTACAACTCT